TGTTAATTACTCTGAGCCTGAATTGTGAAGTCTGCTTGAACAATTCTAGCTGTCAAATTAGTCATTCACTGTCGATTAATGGACCAGTGAACCTTGAAATTACGTAACCTTTACAGAATTACGTTCCAGCAACCCGTACTCCAGAGCTGTAGGTTTGGTAACTGGAAGTGCCAGGGGCAATTACTGCCCATCATTCACACTGACGCTAATTCTGTGTACTGATGTTTTATTCGTGCTTCTAATAGCATGGAAGAGGTCGGTGGGAGACTATAAGCAAAGTAAAGTAAGTAAAGTTTGTCCCACTATACGCCATGTAGGCGTTTGGGGGTGAGTGGAGGTATAGCTCCTCTCTTCCTTGACCTCGGCACTAGATGGGGGTGAGTGGTCAGCATCACGCCCCGGCCGGCTTTACCCCCGGGAAAGGACCCCGGTACCCATTGTAGAGGAGGCTGGGTGGGCCCCAGAGCCGGTCTGGACGCAGAGGCTAGAGGAAAAATCCTCTGTCCCCGTCGGGGATCGAATCCCGGCTGTCCAGCCCGTAGCTAGTCACTATACTGACTGAGCTATCCCGGCTCATATAACCTACAGCCTAACATAGGCTGTAGGTTATAAATAAAAGTATGTAGACGATTTAGAAACGTTGTGACGCAAATGAGGTCTTGAAGCTGGTGACCAGGTGTTCTGAGGAAAGTGTCGCCTTCATTTTCATTCAACGCCCTGAGAAAGTGAGTTTCCTCCCCAAGCTCTGTAGGCAGAGGCGGCGAATCGTGTAACTGACGGTTTGCCGTCATGTAATATAAAGTTTAAGAATGCATGTAGGTATAGTCGGCGTAGTAGTTTTTGGCCGGTGGAGAAGCTGGCGGGCGGGCCTAGTCTGTGTACCTGAGGTGGCGCGGTCAGTGTATTTCTTTTGTTTGGGCGTTCAGTCCGATAAGCTCCTCGGTGCAGTCAGCATTATACTATCGCACAAGAGACTCGCTCCTAGCCTTCCCCTTGAAAATTCCACCGGCCAAAAACTACTGCGCCGACTATAAACTCGAAGCCTGTATACGTGTGCATGGCATCGTTCGAAACGCAAGCAAAATTACTGGTACATAAGCTTTGCTGTGCAAAATTTTGCATTTTCTTTGTGACAGAGTGTGTTTAAGATATATAAAAAAATCAGATAGTGAATTACCAAAGGGAATTTTAAAAAATCAGTCGTAAGCAATTTTGTCTGTCGTCCGCTAGGTAATGTGTGCATTTAATTGTTCTGTGGAATATTTCGATACTTAAGCTTCTTCCGAAGATGAACCTATTCTAGACAGCTCAAACGATAAATGCGTGTACTGTTTGCAACCGGACGTTTGCGGGGAAAAGTAGATTCAGTGCAAAAATGTACTTACGATGGCCCACGAAATTTTGCACTGGAATTGAAAAGAATGAAATTATGAACGTTTTTCTGATTTAAGAATGATCTTGTTTTTATAAATATTATGAACTTAGTCTTTAAAGGGTTCTCTTGCTATGATGATGTGCAACGTATATTCTTTCTTAATGATTGTTGTTACTAATTTTTGCGTATTTCTTATTTACTTTTATTTAGCACTGTGAACCACTTTTAAGCCTTGACATTTGAGTGTGCGCGCTATATACTTTATTTTCTTCGTAGGACACGTACATGCAACTTACAAAATATTATAACAGGTTTGAAAACAGTAAAAAATATTTAATTAATGTATTTTAATTATTTTAAACCCTCATTACAACATCAAAGATATTGTTCGATATTCAGATACTTACCCAAGGAATTGTAAAGCCTAATTTTAGGCTACATTTTTAAATAAGACTTAAATTTATATAAATCGTATAAGCTTTTTATGTAACTCCGTTCTCACAACTGGAGCTGATAGCTGTCTGTTCATGAATCATGGTCACTGTCCGGCTGTGAGGAAAGGTTATACTGAAAATAAACTTGATAATTGTCAATTTTGTGATTATATAAACTTTTTGATCATTGGTGTTTGTTTAACGAATGGGAAGGTCTTCTTTACCTGTTGGCATTTTAACTATCCCTTCTACAGGCCAGATAAAATAACCAAGCCGTCTTATGTTCCTCCGTGTAAGCATTGCTTGCTTTCGCTGTAAATGGGGCGAGTTATATCCCAAGAGCCAATAATATATAATTTAGTATTCTTACAATAACAGTAGTAAAAGAATCTGTCAGTTTAACGACAACAAATCATCTGAGGACGGTAATATTTCCAGCTGTCGAAACTTGGTGACGAGGTATCTGATATACGTCAGAAGATTCAGTATACTCGGCAAATCAAGGAGACGTATATGGGCGTGACAAGTAGCACGCATGGTGGAAATAAGAAATGCATGTAGAATTTTGGTTGGAGAGCATTAAGACTTGGGAGACCTAGGTGTAGATGGGAGGACAATGTTAAATTGGATCGTACTGAAATATGTTGGGAATGTGTGGATTGGATTTATCTGGCTTATGATAGGGATAGGTGGCGGGCTGTTGTGAATGTGGTAATAAATCTTCAGGATCTATAAAAGGCGTGGCGTTTATTAAGTGAGCTTTTCTCAAAAAGGGAGTTATTTAATTGTCAGTTAGTGACAATATGAACATTGCTTGCTGTGGTTTTATGAGACATTTTAATAAAATTGTTTTATATTTTGAACTACAAGTAAAATTACAATATATCCTCACTTTACAGAAATTTTCTAAACTACGAGGGTCGCTCATTAAGTAATGCCCCACATTTTTTTCCTCAGAACATATTTATTCAAGTTGGCTCAAATTTAGTGACAATATAAATCAATGTTTCCTTTACACATACTATTTTTCCACATAGTCCCCATCAACTTGTACGGTTTTACGCCAGCGTGGAACAAGGGCATGCATGCCTTGCCGGTACCAGCTCTTGTCCTGTGCACGTAGCCATGTCCTCACTGCTTGAATCACGCTCTCGTCATCTTCAAATCTTGTTCCGCGGATAGCATCTTTAAGTGGCCCAAAGAGATGAAAGTCGGAGGGTG